GGCTAGCTGCAAGAACTGTCAAAACTGTCAGTGGTGACAATAAGGCAGGAGGAGGTGTATTTCCTTCTTAAATCGCTTGACCAAGAAAAGGCTGTGGGCCCAGACAAGTTGAGCTCAAGATTGCTGAAAAGATGTGCAGACCAGCTAGCAGCACCTCTAGCTCACATCTTTCAGCACTGCCTAGTACAGGGTAAATGGCCTTCTCTGTGGAAAGAGGTAAATGTAGTCTCTGTTCACAAAAAGAAGAGCAGAGCAGAAATCAGCAACTACAGATCAGTGTCACTCCTGTCAATCACTGGCAAGATCCTTGAGACAATAATCTCAAGACAAATGACAAAGTTTTTTGACTACCACTCACTACTTTGTGACCGTCAATATGGCTTTAGGAAAGGTTACTCTGCTGCTGATCTGTTGTTAAACCTCTCCACTAAATGTCACCAGTCACTGGTTCTATCCAAAGTCAGCTGTGTGGTAGCACTGGTGCTTTCGACCGGGTGTGGCACCAGGGCCTCTTAGCAAAATTGCAAGCACTGGGAATTTCAGGCTCTACACTATGTCTCCTCAGTGATTACCTTCATGGTAGACCTCTAAGGGTAGTGCTTAATGGAACAGAATCAGCAAGACATCCTACTGGGGCGAGTGTTCCACAAGGAAGCGTGCTGGGCCCATTGTTATGGAATATTTACTTCAAAGACCTTATTCATCTCATCCCAGAATCCCATGCATATGCAGATGACTGTACACTGACATTCACTTATCCAAGAGAAGAAATGCCAGCTGCTCTAAGCTACATCAATCACCAGCTAAGAACTATATCAGCTTGAGAAAACAGATGGCAATTAACGTTTGCACCTGAGATAACACAAATGATGATGGTCTCTAGCCACCATGATGGTAATGCCGGTGCAGTAGTAAGCATGAGTGGGAGGGTGTTGGTACCTGGGAAAGAAGTTGAAATCCTTGGGGTGAAATTTGACTCCAAACTCACCATGAAGAACCATGTTGTAAATCTTGCAAGCAAGGCAGCCAGGAGGCTTGCAGCACTTCACCGTATCTCGCGTCTGCTTGACAGTAGGGGTTGCAAGATTCTGTATGAGGCACAAGTATGCCCACACCTTGGGTATGCTCAACTTTCTTGGTTTGCCTGCCCCCCCCCTCTCTTCTGCAACTGTTTGACAGAGTAGAGAACAGAGCAAGACATCTCATCTCTCGCCTGGACCAATCCTGGATAGATCTGTCATTTCAGCAGAGCCTTCAGCACAGGAGGGATATGGGTGGTTTTACTGTTATGTGCAAGGCCAATACTGACGAAGTACCACACTTGGATCCACTTTGAGGAGAGTGTGAAGCAAGCTTCTGTACCTCAAGATGGGCAGAAAGCAGGAACTTCACTCTGGCTGTACTCTTCTCCAGAACATCACTTCATCTGGGATCATTTATCCCCAGGATGACTCGAGTCTGGAACACATTCGTGCAGCATTATGATTTCAACGAGATAAAGTCAGTTGATCAAATGAAAATGCTGGCCCACAGATGGCTCCAACTTCATCCTGTTCCCTACTTGTATGTCTCATAACAATAAAAATACTTTTATGTTTCATAACAATAAAAATGTTTTCAAATGAGCTGATTTGGGTAACAGTTCTTAGCTTGTCAATAAAGTTAGGAATCCTTAACATGTAAATAGCTTGTCAATAAAGCTAGGGATCCTTAACCTAACCTTGTCAAACCCTGTGTAAAAGAGAGAGAGAGAGAGAGAGAGAGAGAGAGAGAGAGAGAGAGAGAGAGAGAGAGAGAGAGAGAGAGAGAGAGAGAGAGAGAGAGAGAGAGAGAGAGAGAAAGAGAAAGAGAGGAAAGAGAGACAGAGGCATAGGCAAAGGAATGGGTAGGGTACTATCAAGTCACAGTGAGGTGTCAATTGGTCTGTATGTGTGTATATGTATGTGTGTGCATATATGTATGTGTGTGTATGTGTGTGCTTGTGTGAGTGTTAGTTTTGCGTTTGTGTGTGTTCGTGAATGTCTGTGTCCATATTGCATGTGTATGGGCTCTCAGAATGTTTGCATGATCTGCATGTACATGTTGTTTATTGGCCTGACTTTGACCTGATGCTGACTCAACTGCCTACACGCTAGTTCCTTCTGTGTTTATCCTTCTTCCTAGAATACTTACTTCCTTGATTCCTAGCTGCCTCCTTAGCTAATCTGCCTCAATGATATTAAGTCTTCGCTCTGCTTCTACAAGTGCCTGAAGAAACACGTGTGTGTGTGTGTGTGTGTGTGTGTGTGTGTGTGTGTGTGTGTGTGTGTGTGTGTGTGTGTGTGTGTATGTGTGTGTGTGTGTGTGTGTGTGTGTGTGTGTGTGTGTGTGTGTGTGTGTGTGTGTGTGTGTGTGTGGGTACTTGCATGTGCATGTGTGTGTGTGAGTCACATCGTGTGTACATGCTTTGAGTGCATTACATTACTCTGTCAGGTCTAGAAATCTATTTATCCTGCTCCTACCCTTATTTAGCAGCTATGTTAGTGTATGTTTGTTTACTGCAGTTTTGTCTGACCTAAGTGCCTGCACGTGCACCCAATAGTGTGTGCGCGTTGGCCTACATTTGGTAACCCACACTACGCTACCGAGCTTCTAGTCCTTACTAAATGTTAAGTGCTCTATGTATAATATTCAGCTCTCCAGAGTAGGGTTTGCGACCCCAGCTACCAGTGATGCAGGGCCAAATGCTATTCACACAACATGCAACCACAAAAAGGTGATTTGTACATCATGTCTGGCAAAGGTGTCGTCTGGGATCCTGGCTCTGTTGCAGCTGCACAATGATTCTCGTTGTGCTGGCACTTCTGGCACCCTGGTTCTCCTTCAGTTATTATTCACTAACACATCTATTCTTATCTTTTATCTCACTGGATTGGGCCACACTCATTTTGTTTGAATTTGCAGTTACTGGCTTGTGGCAACACTTACACCCGACACTAGGCCACCAGCCTCTCGCTCCTGGCACTGATTCCACTTTCAAATTGTTTTATGTGAATTGTAGTCCTCGCTTCCCTTCTCTGATTAAGGGTACCTTGTAATTCACTACTCGGGATGTTCACTGACACTTACAGCTTTCATGATCCTTGTAATGACCTTGTTGGACCAAAAACCACTAAAGATTCACGAGCACTATATGATGATGTTACTCCCGCCAGCGTGTGTGCCTGTGTGTTAATGTTTAGAATAATGGCTTTTAAATAGCCAGCGTTTAGTTGAGAAGCAGTAAATAGCAAATAATTTTTGTATGCATGTGTCAAATGACTTATGTACACGTGTATAATGGAGAGTGTATGTTGTTGCAACCCCTGAATGGGTTGCAATATATATAATGTATATTATGATTATGAATATAATGTATATTACGTTTTCATATAATTTTATACTGCTTATATTTGCGATAATAGCTAAATCGTGAATATACTGCTTTATATTATTATTATTTGACTTAGTTAAATTTTGTTAGGTAGGATGTAACATATTATGTGCTCAGTTCAAGTCTTGATTGTCTAACTACTGTAATTATCGCTCTTTGCTCGTTTCCCTGCCGGCTTCTTGCTGGGCTGCGACCCACGGAGCTATCACGTGATCGAGGGGGGGGGGAGTGCCCTCTCCTCGCCTGAAGTATTCAGTCTGCTCTAGACTCGCTTGGTGGTTGGACAGATTGTCTGTCTCATTATTCTTGTTAGTTCTGTAGAACTCTGTTCACAGAACATTGTATAGACTTAGTGATTTTCGACGTTGTACTGAGGTTGTGTGTCGCATAGACACTCTGAGCAACTCAGGTCCTGAGCTGTAGCTTCTGACCTAACTTGTACTGGTATCTGTGTATCATCACAGTCGGGGATTTTCTTATGCTGAACTTAGATTCAGTAGTATGGGAGTTTGGTGACTTGTGGAGCATTTGCAGATCCTCCACAAGTCACCAAACTCCCATACTACTGAATCTAAGTTCAGCATAAGAAAATCCCCGAATGTGATAATGCACAGATACCAGTACAAGTTAGGTCAGAAGCTACAGCTCAGGATCTGAGTTGCTGAGAGTGTCTATGCGACTCAAAACCCTACTTAGTGTCGTTATATTATCTCCTTGTTCCTGATTCTGTGTCGCAGTTGCTTGTTATATTGCTATTGGGCTTAGCATTCTTTTTATTGTTCAAGCAGACTGTTCTGATTGCCAGTCGGTCAAGAAGTTAGTTTATCTGAGGACTTTGTCAGTCACTTGTTTAAGTCTAGTCGAGTCGTGAGACATAGCAAACTACTTAGAGCACTTACACACATACACACAAACTTACTTGTATATATTTGTAATATCTTATTAAATGTTAATGTACCAGACGGTACTTAAGAATTATAAATGTGATAAGTGCTTTCAGCACAATAATACTGTACACGAGAGAAGTGATTATTATTAATTTGTTTGAATTGATTAATTTAATTTGATAATATACCTCTAGATGATACATAATAAATTTATTAAATTTTATTTTCTCTAGTTAGTAGCCTACCAGTTGTAATCCTGAAGCACTATTGAATCATACTAATTCTAATGGATAATTGGACAAGGATACTGACTAATTGTTACGAAAACCCAGTAACAGGCTGGATGCTAGAAGGGCAGTCCTTTCTAGTATTCACTGGAGATCTCTAAGCTTTTAGAATCGCATTTTTTGTAACATATGTCTAATGACATGTGTGTGTGTACATGTCCCTAAAAGCGTGTGTAAAAATAATTAAGGGGATGTGTACACGTAACTAATAGCGTGTGTATGAATCACATGACATGTATGGCTACAATATGTATAAGTACAATAGAAATAAGTTACCTAGATCCTACTGTATCAAGGTAAGTTAGATCTGCGTGATGTACTATATATACGAGTGCTAAGGTCATTTGTGTGTACAAGTGATTATTGTAAAAAAAATGTTTGTCATTTATTGCTTGAATATAAGTGTACTTGCAGGTAACGCTACAGAGGTTTACTTCTACGGTACACAGCTGACCATGAACCTGATCGGAAGCATCTTCGGCGTCCTGGTATTGAGGAATGTGATGCTGCCTGTCCTCTACCCTCTCAAGCTCGTCTCAATGTTTGAGGTCAGTGTGGCACCTGTGGTTGCATGTGTGGCTTTCTTTGTGATCACTGTGGTACTCTTGCAAATCAGTATCCCAATTATTTTAACATATTTACACTTACAGCACATTAAGAGCAGTGTGATTACCAAATCTGAGATCACCTTAGCACACTGCTGTAGAGAAATTGTATGTATTTCAGGTAAAAGGACACATTGGTAATAAATGGTATAAAATACCGACACAATGGAAATATAAACACAAATGCAGTATAATGTGATCCTTTATTGACAACGTTTCACCCACACAGTGGGCTTTTTCAAGTCACACACGGATCTACCTGGGGTTGGAAGGTACGAGAGTATTTATAGTCAGAATGTGAGGTCAGGTGAAGAATGCTGCATCTGATGATCTACCGGGTGGGGTTATAGAGTCTTGGGTAGCTTGGCAGGGGTATTGGACAAGTTGTAGACCTTCTGCAGTGTTCTATGTTCTTATGTGGGATAGCGATGAAGAAGTTTCTTGGCGAGTGGTTCAGCTATGTTATAGAAGCCATTGTTCTGGTTGAAGATAAGATAAGATAAGATTTCGTTCGGATTTTTAACCCCGGAGGGTTAGCCACCCAGGATAACCCAAGAAAGTCAGTGCGTCATCGAGGACTGTCTGTCTTATTTCCATTGGGGTCCTTAATCTTGTCCCCCAGGATGCGACCCACACCAGTCGACTAACACCCAGGTACCTATTTGCTGCTAGGTGAACAGGACAACAGGTGTAAGGAAACGTGTCGGAATTTCCACCCGCCGGGAATCGAACCCGGGCCCTCCGTGTGTGAAGCGGGAGTTTTAGCCACCAGACCACCGGTTGGTTATAGAGATAAGCGATGATTCCAGGATTCTTCTGTATTGAGTGTTGTCTTCTGTGGCTATAAGTCTTGAGTTTCTGTAGTTAATTAAATGGTTGTGTGAATTGCGATGCTGTACACAGGCATTCCTTGTATCGTCAGTCCTGCTTGCATATTGGTGTTCTGAAATGCGTGTTTGGAGGTCTCTTGATGTTTCGCCCACATATAATTTGTTGCAGTCATTACAAGGGATTTTTGTATACCCTGCAGAGGATGGAGGCTTGTCCTGTCTACTATGGTGAGTCCTTGATGGTCGTGGTTGTGGAGGTAGATACTTGGGAATGATGTTTTGGCAAAGATGTTGGAAACATGTTTGGCAATGGAGTTGTTGGGGGGGACTATGTATCTCTTCTCGGCAGTTTCTTCTCTGGGTGTGTTGAAGATGTTAAATGCCCGCCGCCCTGCAGCCCTCTGATGAAGTGACGAGGATAGTGGAGTTTAGAAAATACTTGTTCCATTATAGTGCATTCTTCCTCAAGGAACTCATTGCTGCAGATTCTGAGTGCACGTAGGAAGAAGCCTATAATCACACCACGTTTGGTTTTGGTGTCGTGGTGAGAGTAGAAGTGGAGAAGATCGTTTTGGTTGGTGGTTTTCGAAAGACTTTAAAACGAAGTTCGTGGTCAGCTTTGCAGAGCAGAACATCAAGGAAAGGAAGAGTTGTCGACTTCTTCTTCAAGTGTGAACTGGATTGAAGGCTCGACCTGGTGAGCTTGTCTTGGAGAGCTTGAACGTTGAAGCTTTTTGGGAAAGTTATGAGGAGAATGTCGTCAACATAACGGAGCCAGGTGACAGACGAAGGAATAATTGTGGAGAAACGTCGGCTTCTAGATGTTCCATGTATAATTCGCCAGGACTGCATTGAGTGGCGAACCCATGGGTAGTCCAAAAGTCTGCTGAAAGAGGTGATTTTCAAAGGAGAAACACGTAAAGCCAACACATAGTTCAACAAGGTCGATGAAATCGCTGGCTGGAATGGGAAGATTGACGATTCACTTGATCTTCCCATTCCACCAGCGATTTCATCGACCTTGTTAAAACTATGTGTTGGCTTTTACGTTTTTTCCCCTTTCGAAAATCACCTCTTTCAGCAGACTTTTGGACTACCATGGGTTCGCCACTCAGTGCATCCTGGCGAACTTATACATGGAACATCTAGAAGCCGAACGTTTCTCCACAATTATTCTTCGTCTGTCACCTGGCTCCGTTATGTTGAGACATTCTCCTCATAACCCCCAAAAACGCTTCAACGTTCAAGCTCTCCAAGACAAGCTCAACCCGGTCGAGCCTTCAATCCAGTTCACATTGAAGAAGAAGTCGACAAAAACTCTTCCTTTCCTTGATGTTCTGCTCTGCAAAGCTGACCACGAAATTCGTTTTAAAGTCTATCGAAAACCCCCCAACCAAAACGATCTTCTCCACTTCTACTCTCACCACGACACCAAAACCAAACGTGGTGTGATTTTTAGGCTTCTTCCTACGTGCAATCAGAATCTGCAGCAATGAGTTCCTTGAGGAAGAATGCACTATAATTGAACAAGTATTTTCTAAACTTTCCCCTATCCTCGTCACTTCATCAGAGACTGCAGACGGCGGCATTAACATCTTCAACACACCCCGAGAAGACACTGCCGAGAAGAGATACATAGTCCTCCCCCAAAAACTCCATTGCCAAACATGTTTCCAACATCTTTGCCAAAACATCATTCCAAGTATCTTTCCTCCACAACCACGACCATCAAGGACATCACCAGTAGTAGACAGGACAAGCCTCCATCCCCGCAGGGGTATACATAATCCCTTGTAAAGACTGCAACAAATTATATGTGGGCGAAACATCAAAAGACCCCCAAACACGCATTTTAGAACACCAATATGCAAGCAGGACTGACGATACAAGGAATGCCTGTGTACAGCATCGCAATTTTACACAACCATTTAATTAACTACAGAAACTCAAGACTTTTAGCCACAGAAAGACAACACTCAATACAGAAGAATCCTGGAATCATCGCTTATCTCTATAACCAACAATTTCAACCAGAACAATGGCTTCTATAACATAGCTGAACCACTCGCCAAGAAACTTCTTCATCGCTATCCCACATAAGAACATAGAACACTGCAGAAGGTCTACAACTTGTCCAATACCCCTGCCAAGCTACCCAAGACTCTATAACCCCACCCGGTAGATCATCAGATGCAGCATTCTTCACCTGACCTCACATTCTGACTATAAATACTCTCGTACCTTCCAACCCCAGGTATATCCGTGTGTGACTTGAAAAAGCCCACTGCGTGGGTGAAACGTTGTCAATAAAGGATCACATTATACTGCATTTGTGTTTATATTTCTAAAAGGACACATGTGTAACTAATGTGAGATTTTATTTAGCAACGTCTCATTCTCCGGGAGTTTGGAACTGCTTCACAAAGCTCCTGTACTGCGAAATGTTACCACAATAAAATGTCACATTAGTTGAACATGTGTTCTTTTAACTAACATATTGTCGGCAATACTATCTTTATCACTAGATGTATTTCGGTCAGTGAGTGATGCGAGGAAGGTATGCAAATATTCCACAACCCCAGCCACTTGTACGCAGTGCACGTAATTGTATTAGTGCAGAGTGCGGCATAAGTTCATAATGTAGTTAGATATCACCACTGAAAATCTGAAGACATTCACAAAATCATCATATGGAAATTGATAATCAAATTTCTTCAATAAAAGTTTTAAATTAGACATACACAGATCAAATCTAAATCAGACATTTCAAAGAGACCAAAGAGACTGATATCCTAAAATACACAAGTAGAGAAAGCTGGATGGATGGATAATGAGTGTTCAAAACTAGGGATGCCAAGCCCATGATGACACTCTTCAGGTCACTTGTTCTGTCTAGGCTGGAATATTGTTGCACACTAACAGCACCTTTCAAGGCAGGTAAAATTGCTGACCTAGAAAATGTACAGAGAACCTTCACGGCACACATAACGGATATAAAACACCTCAATTACTGGGAGCGCTTGAGGTTCCTCAACCTGTACTCCCTGGAACGCAGGCAGGAGACATACATGATTATATACACCTGGAAAATCCTAGAGGGATTAGTACCAAACTTGCACACGAAAATCACTCTCTATGAAAGCAAAAGTTCTGGCAGACAATGCAACATCACCCCAATGAAAAGCAGGGGTGTCACTAGCACGATAAGAGACAACACAATAAGTGTGAGGGTCCCAAGACTGTTTAACTGCTTCCCAGCATACATAAAGGGGATTACCAATAGACCCCTGACTGTCTTCAAGAAGGCACTTGACAGATACCTAAAGTCAGTACCTGACCAGCCGGGCTGTGGTTTGTACGTCGGTTTACGTGCTGCCAACAGTAATAGCCTGGTTGATCAGGCCCTGATCCACCATGAGACCAGGTCACAGACCGGGCTGCGGGGGTATTGACCCCCAGAACTCACTCCAGGTATACTCCAGGTACTCCAGGACACCGCACAGTTTGGTTGACCATCATCAGATGTCACACTCAAAAATTATCTCATGAAAAAGCAGTATTTTATTTTTTGTTTTCAGTTTCTTGCAAGTGAAGCAAACTGGGACATATACAGACATAAATTAAGGCAATTCTTTGTCTAATTAAGATTCACTAGTTTTAAAGAAAGTAAGTAATGCAAGTAAGTAAGTAGGTAAGTAAATAGGAAAATAATTAGGTAAGTTAGTAGGTAAGTAAGTAGGTAAACAAGTAAGTAAACAAGTAAGTAGGAAAATTCAATGTAAACTTTGTGTATATATTATACAATTTTTAAGAGTTGTTTTAAGGACAATAGATGTTATATACAAATAAGTTTATTTAAAGTGGAATAAATAAGTTCAACATTGTGAATTATTTCTGATCAGAGAAACAATCTCCAGTTGTTATCACATGATAACTTGCACAACTTAACATGATAACTTGCACAACTTAACATGATAACTTGCACAACTTAACATGATAACTTGCACAACCTAACATGATAACTTGCACAACTTAACATGATAACTTGCACAACTTAACATGATAACTTGCACAACTTAACATGATAACTTGCACAACCTAACATGATAACTT